TTTTTTTATCTCGAGAGATTTTTTTTTTTTGTTACAGGGCACATGCACTCACCAGAAAGACAGAGAGACAGAAAGCGAGAATCACCCCCCAGAGGGGATAGCCACACCGAAATCCCTTCTCTATTCTCCTCTCTCAGGATCTTGGGCATGCACCCACAGGCGCCTGGTGTGAGTTTAAGCTACCAGATCCAGGACTCGAACCATGGTCAGTAACATGGGAGATCAGCAATATAGAGCCATTATGCCAACTGCTGGTCCTTTTTTATTTCATTTCATTTATTTATTTGGAGAGGTTTTTGCTATAGGGCGTGTGCACTTGCCAGAAAGTGAGAAATCACCCCTCAGGGGGATGGCCACGCTGCAATCCCTTCTCCTCCATTCTCCTCTCGGGATCTTAGGCACACACGCATATGCGTCTGGTGTGAGTTTAAGCCACCGGGTCCGGGACTCGAATTGTGGTCAGCTACATGGGAGTCCAGCAACATATCCATTATGCCAACCACTGCTCCCTGGCCCTTTAAATTTTTTTTTTTTTTTTTACTATAGGATGTGTGTGCTTGCCAATGAGACAGAGACAAAAAGCGAAAAAATTACCATCCGAGGGGGATGACCACACCGCAATCCCTTCTCCTCTATTCTCCTCTAGGGATTTTGGGCACACATTCGCCTGCGTGAATTTTAAGCCACTGGGTCTGGTACACGGACCATGGTTGACTACATGGGAGTTCAGTGACATAACCATTACACCATTCGCTGGTCCCGTGGGATTGGCCCTTCTAAAAGACCAGGGCATGTAAGTGGAGGAATTTCCCATTTCAGGGAGCAGTTTGCCAAAGCCCTGTGCTATCGATAGAATATGTTCCTCAAAGTTCAGAAACTGGAAGGTGGAAACTCAGTTCCCAGCACCGCAGTGTTGAGAGGCAGGACCTTCAAGAGGTAATTAGGCCATGCGGGCTCTGCACTCGGGAATGGGCTAATGTCCTCAGAGAAGGAGGGCATCTCTCTGAAGGATGAGCTCTGCCCTCTTTCTTTCTGTCTCTGGCCCACACGCCTTCTTCCACTGGGTTATGACACCATGACAGGACTCACCAGATGCCAGCCCCTCCACCTTGGACTTTCCAGCCTCCAGAACCAGTAAGCTTCTATTCATTATAAATTACCCAGTCTAAGGGCCAGCAGATGGTGTAGCGGTTTTCGTCGCCAGACTCCCACATGGTCAACCGTGGTTCAAGTCCCAGACCTGCTGGGTTGACACTCAACCCTGGGCGCATGTGTGTATGTGCTCAAGATCCCGGGAGGAAAATGGAGAACGGACTGCAGCGTGGCCATCCCCCCTGGAGAGTGGTTTCTCACCTTCCCTCTCACTGTGGTCTCTTGTCTCTCTCCTTCTGGCAAGTGCACGTGCCCTAAGGCAAAACCCTCTGACTAACTAAATTACCCAGTCTCTGGTGTTACAGAAGCACGAAGCAGGCTAACCAGAGAAGGCACTTACCTTGTTCTAGCAGCTGCCTTCCTGGGGCCGCCCTTGGAGGAAAGTGGCTGAGCGTGAGTATCCAGGTCCTGTCTATGTGTGATACCGGCCATCACAGGGTCCCCCAGCAGGTGAAAGGGTAATCACACTCTGATGTAGTCGTACAACAGGATATATAGCAGCTAGCTGGAATAAGCTATAATTTTACCAACATGAAACAGCAACTAGGGTCAGCAGGTGGCGTGGTGGTTGAGGTGCTAGATTCCCAAATGGCCAACCATGGTTCGAGTCCCAGACCTGGCAACTTGTTCTCACTTTCCCTCTTTCTCTCTTGTGGACACGTGCCCAACAGCAAATTAAAATAATAGTAATAATAATAAAATAAGTAATTCTTTTTAAAACTTTAAAAAATGTATTATTTTTTTTTACATGAGTTTTGCCAGAGAAAGACAGAGAGAAAGAGAAAGAGAGAGCGGGGAGAGTGGCAAAGCAAGCCACCAGGTCCACAACTTGAACCGCTGTCGGTCATATGGGAAATCCAGCGCCTTAACCACCACACTACCTGATGGCAATTCTTTTTTTTTTTTTTTTTTGTG